GTGGAGATGAATTGGGCAGCGGTGTCAGCTGAATCAAGAGCAGCCTGAAGGGCAGTGCAATAGATAAGCACCTCTTTACTGATGTTGGCTTTGAGCTGTACTATGTTAAAAAATGTTATGCGTGTATTTAGCCAATAGGGCTGGATAGTTGGTGAGCCTTAGTTCAAGGGTAGCTGAGGAGTAAGTCTTTCTATCAGATAGGTTCAGCTTTTTCCAGTCTCTGTCATCTGGGGTGGTATGACCTGCTTGTTACCTGACCTTATGGCTCACGGACTCCACAACTAAGGAGATCAGGGTACAATTCAAGAAAGGAAATGTGCTTCTTGGGGTGCCACATAATATTTCTTGCCTGAACTTTTACAGATTGATGGGGCAGTGGCTGGAGTATGCCACATTGCTTTTGTTCAGTCCATGAACTACAGGATTCATGGGTAAGGCTAGCTTGGCTGTGGGAGAGACATGAAGGATGTCTGATAATCTATGCTGCATTTCTGGTAAATTTACTGGAGTGATATCTAGGGAGTCCACCACTTTTTTACACAGCTTCTAAAAAGACTTAAAAGTCATCACCTGCTGTGAGGGGTAGTGGTATGATCATGCTGTCCAGTGAGGAGATAATATATGTGCCAGTGGTGGAGATTCAGGCACTGATTCCTCCTCTATAATCTCTAGATCGTCCTCTTCTTCAGCCCTCAAAAAGGTAGCTGATGGGGCAGGAATTCCTTGTGGTGGAGCTTAAGCTTGTTGCATCCTGTACCTACCCGATGGGTCCCAGTATGGCCAGATTTTTGGAAACAGCACTAGTGGAGGCAGCCACTGTGCGAATTGCCACTGGGATGGCTGTTGCATTGGTTTCGGTGAGGAGTTCCTTGGAGTGTGAATACTCAGGGAGTCTTCGTCATCAATGGATAGTGATAGTGGGGCAACCAATCCCACTGATGTAATTGAGAGGCTGAAGCAGGATGTATTCAGTGTACCGTTGGTGCCAAAGAATGGTGTTCCAGGCACCAAGGTTCCCATTAAGTCTGCAGCTGTTGTGAATTGCTTTGGTGCCGGGTTATTCTGTATTGAGATCAGTGCCGGAGGGGACTCTGGCAAAGCCTGTGCTAATGGTGCCGATTGCTTGTTCTGCTCTGGCAATACTGGCTGCTTACTCTGCGCCGATGGTGCCAATTGTTTAGCCTGCACCAACAGTGCAGTAGATGGCAGCATAGAAGTTTTCAGTGCTGAAGCTGCACATGGTTTCTTCAGTGCAGAAAATGTCTGTCGGAGCCGACAGAGCAGACTTGGAATTAGACAGTGCCAAAGCCTTAGAACTAAATCTTGCTGGGTCTTTTGCTCTTCAGGCCATCTTGGTGCCGAGCATATCCAGTGCCTCATAGTCTGGTGCCTTACGTGCCGCTGGTACTGAGGTCAACTTTTTTGTGTGGGAGTGCTTCCTCTCAGGAGAAGCACCCAGAGATATTGAGTAGGAGTGCTTTTCAGAGGTCTGTGCAGAAGCAGAGTCCATAGAGCTTACTCCTGAAGGAGCTGCTCTTTCAGAGCTCACCATGGGAGAAGACGGTCTGGGCAGTGACGTGTGCTCAGGGTCAGACACCAGCTGCACGAACTTTATTTATAGCAGTTTGAGCTGGAGCTCTCTGGCCTTTCTGGTCCTGGCAGTGAGCTTCTTACAGTGAGGACACTTATCAATAAAGCATCCCTCACCAAGACAGACACAGACGGAGAGCGGCTGTCAAAAATAGGTATCAACATTTTACACGTCATATACCTTGTCAAACCTGGTGACCCAGGCATGTCTGTAGAGCAGACAACAGACAAACAGTTCCTAATTTCTAATTCTAATGCAACAAGAACTTTTTTTAAAGAACAATCTATTACCTAACTGTAACTATGAATAAGCTTAGCAAAATTGTTAATTATTTCTGCTAACAAATTCTACAAAATATCTATGGCGACTGCAGGCTCCAACTAAAGCTAACGGCAGCAGAGAAGAAACAGAGGGATCGGCTGGCTGCACACCCACAGTAAGCCACACCAAATGGTCCGTGCCGGCTGCCCCACATACACAGCCCCTCGAGGGCACTGCTGACTTAATTCTCCAACTGGAGGCACAGCAGAGCCAAAACACCTAAGCTGGAGCACGCACAGGGACACCCCTCAAAGAAGAAATATTGGATTTTGGTGAATCAAAGGACAGAGGGAAAAAGTATTCAGAAGATGAATGCTCTAGTGAATGGAATTTAATGTAGTTTGAAATATGTATGTGACGGGTATGAGATTCATCAGTGATTCAGATGTTCACACACTTCAGAGCTTGCACATATGCCTGTTTGTTTATTGTGCGCATCTTCCAGAATAATACATAGCAGGTTTGCACATACACAGAAATTAATGCATTGTTATACTACATATATCTTTTATATTGTATTTTCCTAATAAAATTTTTATGTATTTGAATGTATTTAAAAGTAGGATGAAAAAAAAAACCACAGAAAAAAAATAACACTTTTCTGTAAAACCTAGGATCTTTTCTGGTACAAATCAGATTAAACTGAAAACTATGGGCCTTCACCATAAAAATCACGGGAGGGAGGGAGGAAGGGAGGGAGAGAGACAACTCAACACACAGCCCACGCCTCATTTGTTTGTGGCCCAAGGTGCAGTTTGGGTTTACATGGGGCCTGTGGGTGGGAGCCAAAACAAAAAAGTAGTCACTATAATGGTCTTCTGTTGATATATGTTTTAGTAGTTAAATTCCTGGATGGTCATTGCCCATTAAAAGTGCTGTCATATGGGTGGAAATTGGGTAAATATTGAGTTTTATTAGTATCAGCTGAACTGACTTAAATGGGGACTGTGTGTTGTGTAGTCTTTTCTTAATGTTTGTATTCATGCCCGCCAGTGTGAAAGAAGCAATCTGCATATATTTGCATGGAAATACAACCACACTTAAGTAGCGGCTCTCAGCATATTTTGCGAATATCATTGTGGACCCCGGGGCTTCCAAAGTTGAGTAGATTTTCTGGATTTTCAGGGGATCAGACAGATCACTGCTGCGCCCAAATGGGGGGTGGGTAGTTGCCTCATATCTGTACAAAGGGGGCCATATAAGGTGTCAAACGAAAGCTTATGTTCTACTGATTTTATGTATGCTATTCATGTACTTATGTGATATCTGTATGTAGAGTTATAAATATGTACTTTCTGCTTATGCTGGAAGAGTCTCTGTCTGAGACAGATCAATGGGCAAGGAATGTTCAGTCAGTGACTATGCTAATTAGCAAGGCTCCAGGGACAGGGCTCTCAGAGGCCAATACACATCTGAGGAACGTGTTTGGAACCTGCAAACCAGCCAATATCATGACTGCTGACATGGGACACAGGGATAGGTCACTGGGCCATGTGACCTGCTCCAGCTTGGACAATATCAGGGATGGACATAAAATGCCATGAGGCAGACTCCATCTTGCCTTCAATTCTGCTACGGATTCCAGATGCAGCCTGGCAAGGAACAGCGAGCCAGGAAGAATCGTTGGCCCATCCTGACTTAGGATATACACCAGAGACTTTTAAGATAGCACTTTGAAACATCTCTGCTGAGAGCCTGCATCGAGAACTTGGTGATTCAATGCATGTAATGTATTCTTCTTAACAACATTACTCTCATGCTTTTCTTTCTTTTATTAATAAACCTTTAGATTTTAGATTCTAAAGATTAGGCCCAACGTGCTCTGGTGGGTAAGATCCAAAGTGTAAATTGACTGGGACCTGTGGCTGGTTTCTTGGGACCAGAAATACCCGTTTGGGGTAGGTGAGATTGGGTTCTATAACCCCTCATCTCTGTGCAGGTCCTGGGCTGATTGTGGCACACGGAGAGCTGGGGTGTCAGAGGGATTTTGCTTGTGAGGCTTTTTGCTGGCTGGATTAGCAGCTTAAGCCCTCGGTGTGACTGGTTTGTGGCCTATTTGGGAATGGTCTCCAGTCAGGGGCAGAAAGGAGCCCTGAGTTTGAGCAATTTGCCCTGAGCGGACGCCCTCAGCGGTGCCCGGTCCCAGCTTGGTCCGTCACACCATGAAATATAGTATACTGTGCAGATGGCCTGCAAGGATAGCTAAAGTGCTTTAACTGCCCAATTCATCTCAATGTGTTAAGTCAGAAACCTAAATATAAGAATGTAAATGCAAACATTTATGTATTTCATTGTTGATAATTTTAGCAGACACAAACTTATGTGCCTATCCTGCAAACCTAAAGTTGCTTCCCATTCCTTCTAAGATAGCAAAATCTCAATCCACCCATCTGCCCTCCATCAACAACTCCCACTTCACCACTGACAACTTCAATAATGCAATTATACCTCAATCAAAAGCAAAAACTGAAAGTGTGGTGATGGCTTTAAGTAGACTTAACAAAACTAAAAATGAGACTACTGTACAATTATTCATTTTCATGTTCCTCTTTTTTTTTTTTAAAGCATCAATAGAGTTGCTGTAGTTTTTCTAGTCTGCCTCACTATACACATCAAGAGAATGCAGGGCTTCAGGCACAAAATTTACATCCTGCTTTCTGTAGGATACATCTTGGGACTTCTTTAGAGAATTTAGATGATCTATCAAGCAAATTCAGATTTTATAGCATATTTAAATTGCTTCCACAAGTATAAGAAATGGCATTTCCTGTCTGGAAAAATGAATTTTATAAAACATCTTGAACAGCAGAATCCAGATTTGTAGCACTATGAATATAAAAAAAACACACCAAAGAAAGATATCCTTGGCTTAATACAAAGGAAATGACATATGATGTGGGCTAACTCCAGTACATAAGTGTCTAGAATATAACTAACTAGTGTCTAAGACTAGTGTATAACTAATGAAACAGACTGATGCTCCTACCAGAACCAGCTAAAAGAAAACAGTATTTACTCATCTCACAAATTATATGGTCTTTCTAGAAAAGAAAAAACAGAATACCAAAAAACTCCCTCTTCCCCTTACCTGTATGTATTCTAACATGTCGGGTTAATTGGCTTGGTTTTTGGAATGTCTTTCCACAGTGCGGACATGAATAAGTAAACCCACTTCTGTCAATGTTTCGGTTGTAAGATCTAGTGTTGGATACTCTAGAAATGGACACAAAAGAACTACAAATAAAAATATGTTTATCCTCAAATTAAACTACATTTAATCAATGGCTGCTGCCCCAATACTTTTTAATTTTTAACCCTTGCTGCCTCCAAACAGTCACTGATAATTTTGAATCTATTTCTCCAATAACAGTGATGGAGACTGTCTGCCTTTTTAGTTGCCATTATTTCTGCTTAAAGAGTTGATATACTCGGCACTGTTTTCTTCAAAAATAAAAGTGTCCTTCTCAACACATTGGCTACGTCTACACTGGCCCCTTTTCCGGAAGGGGCATGTAAATTTCACCAGTCGTAGTAGGGAAATGCGCGGGGGATTTAAATATTCCCCGCGGCATTTAAATAAAAATGTCCGCCGCTTTTTTCCGGCTTTTAAAAAAGCCGGAAAAGAGCGTCTACACTGGCCCCGATCCTCCGGAAAAAGCACCCTTTTCCAGAGGCTCTTAAGTAGGAATAAGAGCCTCCGGAAAAGGGCGCTTTTTCCGGAGGATCGGGGCCAGTGTAGACGCTCTTTTCCGGCTTTTTTAAAAGCCGGAAAAAAGCGGCGGACATTTTTATTTAAATGCCGCGGGGGATATTTAAATCCCCCGCGCATTTCCCTACTACGACTGGTGAAATTTACATGCCCCTTCCGGAAAAGGGGCCAGTGTAGACGTAGCCATTCAGTTATAGAACAACAGATATGGAATCACATCCGAAAGAATGAACTATGACTCTAGGTGAACATGGCACATTAGTGACTTCATAGCAAAAGAGGTACAGGCCCATTTAAGAAAGCCATCTAAGTAAACAACAGAGTTCCTTTTAGCTCTGTCCACAAAAATGAGTCTTGGACGGGTTTAATCCTATCAAATGTATGTCAGAGCCCTCTTAACATCCACTTTAGGAAGAACAGCATTTTTCCTAATATAATACAGTCTACAACAAAAATATAGGGAGATAAACTGTCTCATTTTTATGCAAGTCTGAAATGACTTAGATAAGAACTGTGAATGTGTGAGAAGGACACTCGATCTTTGAAGAAAATAGTCTAAGTAAGATCATGCATAAAAGTACCAAGCATATCAATTCTTTAAGCTGAAATAATGGCAACTAAAAAAGGCAGCCAGCATATAATATATACCCAAACAAGGGACTCATTACTTATGCCCACATTCAAGCAAAACTTCAAGTTAAATCAATAAAAGCTAACTCAGCAGCATAAAGTCTTTCGGCACAACCACTTTCTCAGTAAGACACTTACAGCTAGTGTGCATGAATTTACAGTGCTAGGTCTTGAAGGCAAATGGAGGACCCTCACAATGGTGCTCCTTCTGGATAATACCTACAGACTATAACAGGACCAGGAACTGACAACCAATGGCAATACAGGACTGTGCCAATAGAAGTAAATCCTTTTCAGGCTTCCCTGTACCCTGCAGGTGCCAAGAAACATCCTCTATTACATTTATGCATAAATGATCCAATGATTCACACCTTATTTTGTAGTGAGTTTTCATATGTTCCTTAAGCTGTGAGGATGTCTCAAATTCCTTTTTACAGGACTTGCAGCTATGGGTCCTGCTTCCAGCCAATTCCTGACGATGTTCCTCCATATGTATGGACAGCTGGCTCTGCAAAGTAAACTCATCTCCACATTCTGAACAAATAAGATTCTGAAAAAGATAACAGAGAATTTGATTCTCTGAATCATGAAATAGTTTATTTATTACCATAAACATACAGTGATTTTATAACCTTTTCAGACACTACCCCAGATCTAACTTTTGCTTAGTTCTGAAATGAATAAAGCTACATACCATTCTACCACCTTCTTCCCAAACCCCTAGGGGCCTAAGGCAAAGCTCACAGAAATATGGAAAGACTCCTTCTATCATAGGAAAGCCTATCTTAAGTGGGCTTTTCCCATAGAACCCTTAGGCTACGTCTAGACTACATCCCTTTTTCGTAAAAGGGATGTAAATTAGACGTATCACAATTGCTAATGAAGCGGGGATTTAAATCTTCCCCGCTTCATTAGCATAAAAATGGCTGCCACCTTTTTCCCCCCACACGGAGCTTTGTCGGAAAAAAGCGCCAGTCTAGATGCTGATCTTGCGGAAAATAAAGCCTTTTCGGAACGATCCCTTATCCTTCTATGAAATAAGGGATCTTTCGGAAAAGGCTTTATTTTCTGCAAGATCAGCGTCTAGACTGGCACATTTGCTGACAAAGCCCCGTGCGGGAAAAAAAAGCAGCAGTCATTTTTATGCTAATGAAACGGGGGAGATTTAAATCCCCACTTCATTAGCAATTGCGATACGTCTAATTTACATCCCTTTTACGAAAAAGGGATGTAGTCTAGATGTAGACTTAAGGTATGTACACAGTAAACAAAAATCAGTGTCTGGTTCAGGTCACCTAACTTGGTCTCATGCACTGTGGAATCCTCCCATCTTGTTAGATACTCCCGAGGTCAGGTTCTAGCCATGCCCAAACGTCTACATCACGCTTTTTCAGCCTTGCAGCCTAAGTCCCAGGCCAGCCACAAATGTTTAATTGCTGTGTTGTTTGAAACACAGAAAAACTATTGCTCATGCCTTGAAATGTACGGGTTTAAATACCTTCCAAAACATGGGGAATTTTTTTCAAAGCTTTAATAATATAACTGCCAGGTAACCATATTTCCCTATGCTGAACATGGGACACGTAGTAAAATTACTTGTATTTAAGAGAATTCAATGGCAATTAATTAATTAGAACGATGCAGTGCAAATATTCAATTTAACATCAAGTTTACTAAGCCCCTGTTATAAAGAAATAGCACATAACTTGATTATTTTTATTTATCTTATTTTTAAGGCTTTAGGGTTCACATGAGGAGATGTGAAACACACACATTCCCATACACCTCTTTCACAAAGGAGGGTGGAAGGGATAGAGGTGACCGATCAACCCAATAATCCCTGCCCAGAGGGCACTATCTGCCCTCTGTGACTGGATGGGCCCCCAGAATGGACCTACCTCTTCTGGCAGTATATCTTCCCAAGGCAACACATGGGGATGGGGCAAGCGGGGTCACATATCCTCCCTCCCCAGATTTCTGCCAGAGTTCACACCAGGTGGTGGCCAGGAGCAGCTTTTCAGCACTATGCAGGAAGAAAGGAATTGGAGCTGCTTCATGCTACAAGGGAGGAGGGGGAAGAGGAAAGGAACCATGGCGAATGGGAGCTGCAGAAGTGTTGCTTGTATGTGCGAGCAGTGCACATTAGGGATGTAAGAAGTCATTTAAAAATGTAACCAGGAAATTGCTAAAAATCCTAGCAGTTACGCAAGCTGCTGGCTCTGCAATATATAGCTTATATACACATTGCTATAAACGTTTATATATAAGCTTTATACCGCAGAGCATGCAGCGAAGCCAGCAACAGCTGCAGGTTCTGCTCCCAGGGAATCAGATGGGCTGGGCCCTCAATGGATGGGAGCTGCTCCAGCCAGAGCAGCTCTTGCCTATGATGAGTCACACAGAGCTGGAGCAGCCCCCAGCCTGGGGCAGGTGGGGAGCTGCTCCAGTGCCTACTGGTTAAATTGAACCAGTAAGCCTCAACCATTTACATCCATAATGTGCACCGATCAGAGCCACCTGGCCATATCATGGCAACTTAAAGGAGCAGCACGGGGCCAGAGCAGAGAGGGAACCCACATTAACCCCACTTCACCACCAACAGTCACCGAGGTGCCCACACACCTCATCCCCACCCTGAAACCCTGCCCAAGGTCAGAACCTCCTTCCATACCCTAACTCCCTTCCAGACTCTGCACCTCCACTCCAACTCCTCCTCCCCACCCAAGGTCAGAACAACCTCCCACACACAAACTTACTCCCAAAGCCTGCAGCCCCACCCGAACACCTTGCTCAAGCCCTGAGCCCACTCCCACAGCCAAACTCCCTCCCAGAGCCCAGACTCCTTGCCTTACGTCAGAACCCCTTTCAGCACCCTAATTCCCTCCCAGTCTCTGCACCCCCACTTGTACCCCAATTCCCTTATGCCAAGTCAGAACCCGCTCCCACATTTCAGCCTCCTCCCAGAGCCCACACCTGCACCTCGATCCCCTGCCTTGAGCCTGCTCCCATACTCCAAACTTCTTGGCCACACCTCAGGGCATAGGGGAAGCCCCGAGCCTCTACACCCCTCCGCAAGGCTGCGTGTGACCTGCGACTGATTTTCTCTGTGGGTCACTGGCCCTCAAACATTCTCCATCCCTGCCATAAGAGACAGAACCCATCCTCCTCTAGGAGATTTTACAGAATGAGCCTGTAGATCATTATAAGGCTATTTCTAGGTAAAAGGTATCTGCGAAGGGAGATATATGCAGACCCAATGGGCACTGCTATTCTAGGCTGTCCAAACTCAGCACTGCTAAGGGACTGAGTTCCACTGGTAAGATCAAGCATTTCTGAAATTTCAAACTTAAAGAAAATGTAAGTTTCTTCAATATGACATTTCTGAAACTAGATGATAAAAACAGCATAGAAGATTAAATAGATATGAGTCTTTAAATACTATTACATTCTCATCAAAATACTTTCAAGTAGGATTTTTAATTAACACACATTAACGCCTGTGATTAATACAAGGCAGAATTAAAATGTTAATTTTTTTTAAAACACACGTTAATCACAGGTGTTTCACAGGTGTTCCCCTTTGAAACACCACTGGATCAGCTGTGCGGCGCTGCCCCTTTGAAACGCAATGGCAGTGTTTCAAAGGGGCAGCTCTGAGCAGAGCCTGGGGTCAACTGGGGACTCCAGCTGATCCCAGGCTCCCGTAGCAGTGTTTCAAAGCAGCAGCACCACACAGCTGATCCCGGGCTTTGCTCATGCTGCCCATTTGAAACCCCGTGGCAGGGCTTCAGAGGAGCAGCGCTGCACAGAGCCTGGCGTCAGCTGGGAACTCCAGCTAATCCCAGCTCCCACGGCGCTGCCCCTTTGAAACGCCACAGTGGGCAGCGCAACGCAGAGCCTTGGGTCAGCTGAAGTCTTATTATTGTTTAACAGCACGATTAATTGCACGATTAATCATGATTAATTTTTTTAATCGCTTGACAGCCCTACTTTCAAGCAAAAATGACTGAAAAGCATCAAATAAAAAATATGAATTTAATCCTGCTTTCAGATATCATGAATTTTCAAAGGTAAATACTTATTTTTTGTTACTCCCCTTGACTCTCAGTAACCTATTTACCAAATATACAAGGATTCACCTATGTCAGCAGATCAGAATTGAATCAGTTGATGTGTATCAGGTATGTCCATTTTTAGCTAATACTATTAAATTGTTTGTGTTCTCCATTATCAGTTTTATACCTCTTCCTCATCTACTCGTCCTTCTGTGCAAAAAGCACATGCTCAATTCCTTGAGTGTAACATTCACATTACATTCTTTCTTTCACAAATTAAAAATGAGGTTAAGAATTACCTCTTCTTTCTCATGTAGCATAATATGAGATTTGAGACTAGCCACTCTGGAGAATTTCTTGTTGCACACAGAACATGTAGGATCTTCCCCATTGTGAGTACATTTATGAAGTGTCAGGTTGAACTCAACATTAAATGACATCGGACACTGATCGCATCGGTAAGGCTATTTGTGAAACAAGACAAAGACAAAATATACTAAGTATAATTCTCTTTCAGACATCGACTATAATATAAAAAATCCACAGGATAATTTAAAAAAAAACAACAACCAGGCAATTCAATAACCTATCTACAATAATGACAAAAGTATCCTCCCCATTATTTTCTCTTCACATTATCCCATGACTTCTCATCCTCAAAAGAAATTCTGACTCTCCAATTTTTCATAATTCCATTTGCTTTTTGGAAGGGCGGGAGGTTTGGCAAAAGAGTGTAGAAACAAAAACTAAATCTCTAAAATGTACATAAAACCTGAACTTATCTTCTAGGCTCAACCACCAATCCAACCAGAAAAGCAGACCTTTTAAGATAATTACATCTTGCTATTCCAAAGTTATCTATGCTACTCCACAATTTTGTACACAATCATTCTTAATTCTCAAAATTGGTTGTCCTTGCCTTTTGTTCAAAAACATTGCTCCTATTTTTCTTCATTCAAATTAACAATTAAGAATTTTCAAATTAAGCTGTAGATTATTTTTAAGTACAGAATTTGAAGTTAAGACACTATCAATTTATTTAATGGTACAAATGCTTTCTCAGCACTCGTGGGTTGATTTACTGAGATTTCAAAAATCTTGAGTTGTTATATAGATATAGATATAGATATAGATATAGATATAGATATAGATATAGATATAAAAAAATGTTTTTCCTGATGTGTGACAGAATGATATCATCAGGCTCTCTGGCCGCAAAAATGGCCAGAGAGCAGGAGGATGGTAAGCATAGCGAGCAAGGAGGCAGCATCCTAATTTAATAAAATTCTATGAAGGGAAAAAAGACAGATTTCCCCTCTGTAAAATAATTCTAATAAATCAGTTGGATACTAATTTTACCAATTAAATAAGACAAACAAATTTCTCTAATGCTGATAAAGCATAGTCAATTTACGATCTAAAATCTTGAATAAAAAGATATATTTTAACCAGTTTCTTCAGCCTACCTAAACACTGCACAGAGACAATGGATTATGTGTGGATACCTAAGCAAAAATTGCTTCAGCTGGGGATAAGTTTATAACTGAAATGCTATCCAATGCAAGGTTTCTTTCATATCTTACGGGAAGCAAAAGAGATTTGTCTAACCAAATTAACAAGTTTGGCAATCAGTACCTTTACTGAACACAACTAAATGTGTCTGCCTTCAGCCTCACCTATTACAATGCTGGATTTAACTTTTGATGTGTTAATGTTGCTTAGATTTTTATCTAGAATTATTGAAATATATACCTTATCATTTCGTTCATGATCCCTCATGTGGCGCTGGAACTGTGTCACTTTTGGAAAAGATAGCAAACAGATTTCACACTTATGGAGGTTTGGTACCTGGAGGGAACAATTACCGCTCTCCGTATTCAGTGTCAGAACACCATCTGCAAAATAAGCATAAAACACTTTTATACAACATTATATTTTCATTTTTTAAATCATTGGTTTTTAAAAAATACAAGTGTACTAAGATGCAGCAAAAACTAGTGGAAACTTTCACAGGATTCTGACTATGCTAGATTTGCAAGATCTCAGGAACAGGAAGGAATATGTTCCTGCTTCAGATGACCCAAAAATTCAGCACCATTCCAAACTTTTTAGGTCCCTACCATTTGTAGATTTATGGCCACACTTTTCTCTTTATTCTTAAAATTGCTTTTTTTTTTCTTCCTTCTTGCTGGTGTATGAAAGGTCTACAGAAACAGGGGGAAAAAACAAAAAACTTGCAAAAAGCTGACAAATGTACAAAGTAAATTTAAGAAAAAATTTCCCTTCCAATCTCTATAGTTATAGTGAACATGTTTACTTTAAAAAAAAAAAAAGATTTGGGGTGACCATTTAAGACAGTAGCTAGTATTCCTGAATGTACGATGCCATTTTCAAATGTGCACCTAGATAGTCATACAACAAACACTTCACTCTCCCTAAACAAAAATCAATAGAAACAAAACAAAAACAAAAACAAAAACCAAACACAAAAACTTCAGACATGATTACACTACTACTGATTTTTTTTTTTCTAATTTCAAGCTTCTTTTCTCTCCCCCATCCTTGGTCAATGAGTCTCTCTCCATTTCACCAGTCACGTGTTAGAGTTGAGTAGCCAATACTGATTGCTCAAAATGATTGAGAGACATGCAATCAACTATAAATCAGAGTGTACTTGCACTTACATTCAAAAGAAAAGTAAGAATTTTATAAGTCAACCCAATTAAGATTCCATTTTGCTTTCCTGCTGTGAAAACTCAGAAGGTGATGTAACCTCTGCAATGTAGATCGAGGTTTGTGTAGCCTGGTGTAGGAAATGGTTGGAATATTTACTCTTGCGGGAATTCTGCACGACTGCACAATACAACATTTTGCAGACAGGAATGTAGAGCGCACAGAATTTCCTTTCCTCCTCACAAATGAGCTGCAGTGCTGTTGGCTGCCATTAGGGGCAGCAGGACCTGGCAGAATCCAGCTCACACATAAAAGACACCGTCAGGGCAAGAAGAGGGACCTTGAGGGGTTCCTGGCAGCTGCTGTTCCCCATACACCCTGAGGGAAGAGGCTGGCAGCACACACACAACTTCACACAATCCTGCGACCAAGCATGAGGATGTTTTCTCCCTTTGAATCCTTAAACTCTGAAGGAGGTGGTGGTTTGGGTGCATTGACTGAGGCGACCCTGCAGCTAGGCTCAGAGGCATGTGGGGACAGAAACAGGGAATGAGTTGTCATAGGAATTCAATAATCTACTCCTGGGGGAATATTTGTGTGTGTTTGTAATGTTTCAGACATACCTGACCACTGATATTTTGAAATAAATTACCCAAACAATTAAAATTGGCATAATTAACTAGCGTTATTTTGAGAAATAAAATTTGCATAATTTTAAAACACTGGGTGGAGAAATTTTTTTGGGGGGGTGGGGAGGGGGGCACAAATCCTACCAAGAGTAAATATTATTGAATCTTGCTTTATACCTAGCTGTTCTTAAAAATTGTTTTTATCAACTTATCTAAAATGGATCTCTCAGCTTTTATGGAAATTTAAATTTTGGGAGACTTTACATGACAATAAATGTTATCACATTTGTTTTTAAAAAATTAAATTGAAAACTCAGTTGTAGGTTTGTAAAAAGAATCTGGTTTAAGAGCCTTAGAAGCTTTGCTCACAAAAAAAACCTCTGAAAACTAAATTGATTCATGTTATACTATTGAAGAACACTTTAAGGAGTGGTTTTTTGTAAATATACAATTTCTCCTCCTATCAAAAGAGAACAAAATATGTCAATGATGAAAAAGAAATAAGAGGAACATTTACTAGTTACAAAGCATAAGATGAGGGATGTGAGGGTATGTGTAGACTACATGCCTCTGTTGGCCCGACAGTCAATGAAGCGGGGGATTTAAATATCCCCAGCTTCATTAAAATAAAAATGGCCACCGCGCTGTGCCCGATCAGCTGATTGTCAGCACAGCGCAGCAGTCAAGACGCGGATCGGTCAACAGGGGAAGCCTATGTTGACCGTTCCTGTAAACCTCGTTTCAAGAGGCATAAGGGAGCGGTCGACAAAGGCTTTCCCTGTCGACCGATCTGCATCTTGACTGCTGCGCTGTGCTGACAATCAGCTGATCGGGCACAGCGCGGTGGCCATTTTTATTTTAATGAAGCTGGGGATATTTAAATCCCCGCTTCATTGACTATGTTGGGTAGCCTATTTTACATGCCTCTGCCAAAAGAGACATATAGTCTAGACATACCCTGAAGGACTAGTTGACAAGTTGCTCCCTTCCCCTACCCCCGCTTGCTGCCTCTATCAGAAAAGCAAAAGAGGAGAGGGTATTCAAAGAGGCAGTGCCGCTTGAAGCCTGGGGCTAGATCATGGGCTCCACGCAGCACTGCCGCTTTGAAATACCGCATGCAGTCCGGGGCCAGCTGGGGTGTCCCCGGGCTGCACATGGCGTTTCAAAGCAGCAGCACCGCATGGAGCCCTGGGTCAGTGGGGGACTCCCCAGCCGACCCCTAGGCTCTGTGCCGTGCTGCCGCTTTGAAATGCCTCGGGGAGCCTGGTGTCAGGCTCCTTGCAGCATTTCAAAGCAGCAGCCTTGTGGAGCCCAGGATCAGCTGGAGTCCCCAGCTGATCCCAGGCTCCATGCAGTACTTTTACCTTTGCTACACTTCAAAGGCAGAATAGCCCTATCGACTAATTGAATTGTCGATGCAAAATGCATTGACTATTAGATTAGTCAATTAGTCGCTATTTAACATCTTTAGGATGAAGTGGTAGCTCCCATTGTTCTGTCCCCACCACCTGACGACACATAAGAAGCATTTACTAAGCTAACAGTTAAGAAAGTCTGGACAGGTTAGGATGCTCCCCCACCCTCTTTTTTGGGGGGGGGGGGAAGAATGGGGAAAGACACAAATAAAAAGGAGTGGTAAGGGGGCATTCAGATAAACCAGAATTTCTTGGGACATAAGGACCAGCAAGAGCAACACATCAGTCCAATCAGTGGCTCCTTGTGTGTTACTGATTCACTTCAAGGTTCTAGTCTTAATCAAAGAAGCCCTACGTGTCTTGATTACTTTTTAAAATAATTTAGTTTGGATTGCAGGGTCTCCACAAATAGGGATGTAAAATCTTATTTAATCAGTTCACCAGTTAAATGGGGTGGGCAGCCAGGCTGGAGCACCCTTGCCCTGGGCAGGAGGGGGGGCTGCTCCAGCTCCTGCAAGTTAACCATAACTGGTAAGCATGAGGATGATGCTTGCCAGTTAACCATTCACATCCCTATTCACAACAGTTGCAAACCTAAGAAAAGGTTCCAGCTGAGAGAGGTCATGCGACAGGGATTTCAGCAGTAAGATCTTGGCTGTGAAAACAATCCAACCAGAAATCAGAATGAGCTCAGAACTAACCATCTTAAGAAGAAATATGAGACCTAATCTCTGTGCACTTGCTCTGCCAAATAAGAATGATGCCGAAGCACTGGTGAGTCGGGATGTTAAATATTGGTTAACTGAACAGTCAGTGTGTGCCCTAGCCCCACTCCCGAGGAGCTCCCTCCCACTCCATACTGCTACCTCTGTGAAGTGCCAGGCAGGAGCTGGTCCATGAGAGGAGCCAGTTTAAAAACCAGCTCCCCTCATGGATCAGCTGCCTGTCACCACTCATTGCTGCCTCTGATACTGAAGCAGCAGTGCTGGGTGGCAGCAGGCTCTGTCGGTGGGGGGAGGGGGGGCCTGAGCTCCCAGACCCAGCACAAGCCAGAACTAAGCAAGGCTGCCTGCCCACCTGGCTCCTAATACACTTTAAATGCATAGCCACAGTGGAGGTAGGACCCAGACCCAGTGTGAGCCAGGACTTGGCTGGGCTGCTGGCCAGCCTACTAAAAAAATGTACTAGCAAGGGAGAGGTAGGGAAATGCGTGTAGTCTATAGCATTAACCTATAAGATTTTGCTTATCGGTTAACCAACTACACTATTACATCCCTACTGGTGATATGCATTAAACACATACATTATTTATATACAAAACTTAAACCTACTCCACACTTTCACGTACAGATTTATTCAGTGCACTCTAGCCCCACTCTTGTGGAGCCTCATCCCAGGAGGCATACCTGGGAGGTCGACAAATGCCTTTGATGTCGACCGCGGAACGTCCAGACTACCACGCTGAGCCGACAAACAGCTGATCGGCTCAGCGCGGCAGCCATGTAAATTTAAATGAAGTGGCGATTATTTAAATCGCCGCTTCATTTTCCTATGCCAGGTAGTCTAATCTACATGCCTCTGTCGCCAGAGGCATGTAGTCTAGACGTACCCTAAGTCTCTTCTTTTTTATTATTATTACTTGTGGTAATAAATACTAGGGAATACCTATTTCATCTAAAAGACTTTCAAAATGGGTATGTGACCTGCGTATATTAGGACTGCATTTAGTATAACTAAAATGAATCCCTCTTCAAACTCCCAATCTCTTTCTACCACAGCACAAGCAACATCACTTACACGTTTAAGCCAAGTGCCTATGCTGGAGATTTGCCAGCTTCCTGAGACTTTACAGAATCACAGAGCTGGAAGAGATCTTGAGAAGTCTTCTAGTCCTATCCCCAGCACTAAAGGAGCACTAAGTATTATCTGGATCAAGCCTGACAACTCTTTGTCTAACTTTCTCTTAAAAATCTCCCAGAGATTCCAGAAGCTCTCTAGGCAATTTATTGTGATACTCAATCAACATGACAGGAAGTTTTTTCTAATGCCCAACGTAAACTGCCTTTGATGCAATTTAAGCCTATTGCTTCCTGTCCTATTCTCAGAGGTTAGCAAGAACAATTTTTCTCCCTTCTTGCAACAACCACCTTTTACATACTTAAAACTGTTATGTCCCCT